TATTGAAACTTTTATCTAAGTATAACATAACACTGTCTCCTACAAAATGTGTCTTTTTCAAAACAGCTATAGATTATTTAGGATTTCACATCTCTCATAACTTAATTAAACCCATTTCAACTAATATTGCTAAGATCACTAACTTTCAACCACCTAAGACTGTCCGCCAGGTCAGAAAATTTCTAGGCCTTTGTGGTTTCTATAGGCATCTCATACCAAATTATGCCGAACTTACTGATATTTTGACACAATTGACCAGTAAGAAGAATAAATTTAAATGGACTGATGCGCATAGCGTTGCATTTGAGAAACTTCAGCATATATTCTTTTCTGAACCTTTTGTTATCTTACCACAATGGGACAAGGAATTTATACTGAATACTGATGCCAGTGGTCATGCTATTTCGGGAGTTCTTCTGCAGGAACACAACAATGAATTGCATCCTGTGTCATATTATAGTCGAACATTGTCACCATCTGAAAGAAAATACCCAGCTATAAAATTGGAACTTTATGCCATTTATCGGTCTGTTACTGCTTTCAAATCATATTTATATAATCGAAAGTTTACAATTTTGACTGATAGTAAACCTCTGTTGCATTATCAAAAATCTACGTCACCTGCTGACAACACGACTAGGTGGCTTATGGAGTTAAGTGAATATACTTTTGAATTTAAGCACATTCCTGGAAAATTAAATTCTCTAGCTGATTACATGTCACGTATGCAAGATCCTGATCATAATCAGCCAGTGTTGGCTGAAAACTCTGAAGATAACTCAGTTATTCTTCCGTTTGTTGAAACAAATCTTGAACGACCCCAAGTGAATGCCCTGGTTTCTTCTGGAGATCCTGCTCATGAAATTTCTGAGTCAACGTTTCTTGCTGAGCAAAGTTCGGATCCTTTTACTTCAGAAATTATCACAATTTTGAAAAATCCTTCCTTGCTTAATGCTGCAAAGGTACATAATTTCTTCATTAATGAGTCAAGCAAGCTTCTTATGTTTATTTCAAACAAACAAAATAATGCTGAGTTAATTGTTGTTCCACAAGCACTGAAATCTAAAGTGTTAGAAATTTCCCATATATCCCATCTTGGGGTGCAAAAGACTTATGAGATTTTATCGAAACGTTACTTTTGGAAGGGCATGTATAACGACACAAAGAACTTTGTCCTCTCGTGTCATTTATGCAACAAATATAAGTCGTTCACTCCTAAACAAGCACCATATAAAGCCATCAGAATACCTAAGTACCCAAATGACTTTATTTCCATGGATATTGTCGGTCCTATAAGGAATTGTGGCCATGTTCTTACTGTTTTAGATCATTTTTCTAAGCATCTTGCTTTATATCCACTTAAAAATCTCACTGCTGAAACTATTACAGGGCATTTATTACAATATATATCTGTACATGGACGACCGGAAATGATCTTGACTGATTTGGGCACACAATTCACTTCATTAGTGTTTGAATCAATTACAAAATCATTAGGTATTAAATTATCTCATTGTACTCCTCAGAGACCGGAATGCAATGCACAAAGTGAACGAGTTAATACTTCAATCAAAACTTCTTTACTTACCCTTCATGAAAAAGGTGTTTCATTTCAAAATGCATTGTTAATCCATCAGAATATTTACAATGGTACTATTCATCCTTCAACAGGCTATTCTCCTAATATTTTGCATTTTGGAAGAAACTTATCTTTACTTTTTGATACATTTCATCCTGATCCAAGGCCAGCTCAATTGGATAAATCCCATTATTTGTGTGATCTTCTAACACAGCTGAAATTAACTTATGAACATGCCTATGAGACGCTTGAGCGAAAACAAGTAGAACAAAATACTCGTCAACTGAAAAATGCCAAATTAAGATCATTCAGTATTGATGACGTAGTGTATCTGAAATCTAAGGATACATTTAAACCCAGATTTTCTGGACCATTCTGTATTGTTTCAAAATCAAGTGATGTAAACTACACTATTCGAGCACTTGACAATGAGTTTGCTCAACCATTCAAAATTCACATCAATCGCCTTCGTTTAGCTCCAAAACGATTCTCTCACTTAGTTCAAAATCCACCTCCTGCTCCTCAAGTTACACATCAGTATAATCTAAGAAAAAGACAGCACGTTTAAATTTTCTTCTCGTCTTAACATAGTAGTGTATTGGAGAATGTTGATATATATGAAAAGTTATTATATTGTTAAGTAGTGTATTTATATCTAATTGTACCAAATTTATTCTGTTGCGCCTCTTTTGTTGAATTCTTATGATTGTGCAGGCATAATCATTAGTATTTAAGGCTTGATCACCCTTAAATATCAATTATAGATTCAACAACATTGTGCCTAACATATTTAAAAATGATTAAAGGTGTTTTATTTTTCAAAATCTCTCTGTATGATGTGATTATAGTTGTCTTATAATATTTTGTCATCATAAATGCTATTTATTAAGTGTAACTAGGAGTATGTAAAAATTGCAATTTTGCTTTATCATAAAGAATGTTTTCTTATTTTATTGTAACGGTTCTCTAATCTTTAGTCACCATGAGATTTTATACGCCCTACTTTTATCTTGAAACTGTATGTGTTATACTACATATTTATAGCATGAAACATGTTTTGCATCAAAAGTTGGTATGTGAATTTTGTTTGTTGTATAGCATGAGAAGTATTGTATGTCATGATATTCTATTACTGTGCCTTTGAGGACTCACTGTTAATGCATTTACCACCACAACTGTCTTATGTCTTGCAAGTTAACTTTGTTTACACATGATATTTCTGTGTTTGTGTATCCATATATCCTCTTAAATGCTGAATTCTGTGCAAATAGAACAGAATGTAGGTTATGAACTATATGAACAATGTTCAAATTGTTTGACATCTCGACTACTTTTTGGACTGTGGACTGTGTACTTTTTAACGCACACTTATTATCAATTATGTGCCTAGTTCTTCAATATTTTGGACAAATTATGTGAATGTGCAATGATTATATCACTTATTACTGAGTACACGTGTTAGAGACTGTGCCTGAATACTCAGTACGGTAATTATGCTAAATTTATAGACTTTTTGATATTATGGACTCTAATATTTTTCATGGACTTTTAAAATGAATGCTTCCATTACTGTGCGTGATGCACAGAAGACTATCAATTGAACTTTAATCATCTGTGCCAACAGTGTAAAATTGGATTCTTTGCACAATTATCCATATACTTTGGTGTTAAACGATAGCAATGTTAACCAAGTGATCTCCATGTTTTAATATGTTAGAAATTGTATGTTTATTTATAGCGCATTTGATTATGTTATTTGTCTGGCATTTGTATACTATGTACTTTTATTTATTATGTAAATAGCAATTTGTGTGTAATATATGTATTTTTAACCAGCACTTTCACATGAATTGGCATGTGTTTGATATGAGGCTCCCTCTTAACACTAGGAATGTTCTTCGTGTACATAGGAATTTTTTTTTTTTTTTTTACCCTTTTTTTTTTCCGAAGGAGGGGTGGATATGTGACGAGGTCACATTGAATTAATTATTTACTACGTTATGGCAATATTTAGATATTTGCATCAGATTCCTTTGGTGACAGTTTCATTTTTTTCGCCAACTTGTGTTGTAAGGTGAGGAAACAGATTTCATCAGACAACTGTTGTAAGCGGAGGAAAGGAAAGTATTGCATCAGACAACTGTTGTAAGCGGAAGAAAGTATTGCGTCAGACAACTAGCGTCTTCACTTCTGTTTGCCTGGGTAGCTGAAGGTATTTTGCGATTGGTTGCCTTCTGACGCTGGATCTTTTTTCATTGGGCGGCAAAACTTAACTGTGGAACTTTATAAAAGGCGGTATTTTTTGTCTACCAGGAGGGAGGAGAAGGAGGAGATTGTGAAGGTGCGCGATGGAGATGCTACATAGAAAAAGACAGTAAGAGTGGAGTAAAATAAAAACTTTGGGAGTTTATCGTGCAAGCTTTCTTTAGTCTCCCAGTATGTATGAAAGAAGCGAGTTTCTTTCTCTTTGATGTTGTAGCTGCAAAATTTAAGCTAATCTCCTTTTTTTCCCGGGCTTGGCATTTTCGCCCGGCATCCCGATGAAGAGTACCTGCATGTGTATGAGCTGAAATACACCAAGTCTTCGAAGGGCTGTGTGGAAGAATTGATCTATCTTTTTTTGTTCTGAGTGAGGAGGCCTCATATCGTCATGTGACATACCGGATTACAAAAAAAAAAAGGAATATCTCTTCAGTATTGTTGGTATCCAATAAAGCAAGAATTAAATCTGTTTTCACGTGTTTGTCACTCTCTCGTCACGGCGGGCTATAGACCTGGATCTTGTCCTGGGGTAAGTTGCCACTATATTCCTGTTTATCATAACATGTGACATATACGTTTGCCACCACAACCAACGAAAGAATCATTACCACACGTGTTTAATTTGGTTAACTCTCGCTGAATAAATGTATTGGCCCTTTTTCGCTGATCGATATTTACCATGGAATTTGACAGCTCCGCTATTCCTTTAGTTAGTTAAAGTCTTATTATTTTGAGTTCAAGCCCAAGTGAAGGCTTTGCTGTACACCCTGAGACAGGGCTCATCTGTTAAACTCTTATTTTGAACAATAAAGGGTAATTAACCCTTCTTGAGTTTACGTCTCTGTTCCTGAACTAAAGCGATTATTCGTTTAGCTATTCATCACGCTCCTCAACATTTAGCTGTCAGATAAAAGGGTGGAACCCTTTAACTTATATACTCAATTTAATAAGTCCTAACAGCAATTTTATATTGTTAACATTTTCACATTCTGATGAAAGGCAAAACTAGTTAATTACTGGCTGTTATAAGATTTCTAGACAAAATTCTGATAGCTTATAACAAAGACACATTTTACACTATAATGGAAAAAACATCTTGAGAAGATTAAATACATAAGGATAATATCATCTGCAGTTAAATAAAAATCTAAATATGTACCTGTATTTTTTACAAATTACTTTGATATCATGCCTCATTGTTGATATATTTTCAGCTTCATAATCAATAACCAAAAGACAACCTCCAGGACCCAGAACTTCAATTGTTCCAACCTTGGTTTTCTTATTCTATACAGAGAAAAAATGTAATAGAGTTATGAACATTTTCATACAGTACAATAATATTTTAATATATATTATTTACTAAGTAGTAATCACTGTCATTAATTACTTGCATTAAGTAATCACAGAGTTATATAAGATGAAGGAAAGGTTTTAAATGAAAATTGACGACATGCAATGACTGAATAGCTGTGAATAATTCAAAGTGTTGCTAAATCTAATAGAGGTGGGAAATTCAAATCTCTGACACTTAATGTAAATTTCTTTAGTACGAATGCTGATATACAGTCAAAAGTCATTAATTCGGACACCCATAATCCGGACCTCAAAGCTACAAACTTTCTGCGCGTGCGTCGCAGTCAGAAAATCCAGACTGGTCGGGACTTCGGCGATTTCGGTTTTGGGGATTTTTCCTGATAATAGATCATCAATTTAAATTTGGTAAGATGGCATGCAGAAATTATACAATTAAAAATATGAAATCGTAATTTATGAAATAAAGAACAATTATGATCTAAAGAGTATCAAAATTTACAACAAAAAAAAAAAAAAAAAAAAAAAAAAAAGCTTAATATTTATAAAATTTCTTTCAATGTAAGTGTTTTGATTCGTTTTTCTAATACTTTTGTCTTTAATTCTATAAAAACATTTTTCTTGTTCAACAAAGTTCCGCTGTCCAATCCTGTAATTGCTGCGCAGTGGATATTCGCACCCAAGGTCCGTTCTTTCTAAGGACCTCGATTCACACCACTCCCCTCCTTGACACCCATGGAGGTAAAAGGGAAGGAGTGGCCAACCGGCACTAGAAGTGAAAGCAATGCTTCGAAGCTCGGTCCGGGATGGGGTTTCTTTGTTTAATTCAAGCTCGCTTGACTGTTCTGATAGTTAAAAAAAAAAAAAAAAAAAAAGCTTAATATTTATTTGTTTACTTTATTAAGCATTTCTTTCAATGTAAGTTGTTAAAGATGCTTCCACAAAAATTCAAAAAGTTCCTTTTTCTTTTTTCTTGCATCATATAGAGTGGACTTTCCGATGCCATACTCCTCGCAGAATTTTGAGACAGATATGCCTTTATCCATTTTTTGCAGCTATTCCACTTTTTGTTTAATGGACATCGAAACATGGTTTCTCTTTGTAGGTCCTTTGGCAACTCCAGAATTGGAAACTCTTTTTGACATAATCGAAAGTTCAAGCTTAGTTTTTATAAAATTGCTGTAATAATAACAGTCTGCAAAAAATAATAAGCTGGATCAAATTAGAAGATCAGGGAGTAGCGCAGTCTGCTACATTACTTGAAATGCCTTAGAATCAGTAGAGATAATTTTAGCCTAGCTTAATAGTGCCCATTATACATTATTGGCTGTATATCACAAGATTGGCGACGAAAGCCAAGTTGTTCTGCTCCTCCTATTGCATACTGAATTAAGCCTGAATTATATTAGTTTAGTTATTTACTATATTTACATTTATTTCTTGCATATGCTTCAAACTAGTTTATTTATTCAGAGTCCTGAATAAATAAACTCCCACATATACTTAAAGCTTTATCTAGTGCCTGAGCTCGATACCGCTTGGTGCAGTCTCTACATGTCCTAAATTCTGCTACAAACCGCTTTCCTAAGTTCTAAATTTTCACCACACCTAAACTTTGCATCCCAGTGCTTTACCTAAATCATAAAAAACTTCTCATCCCTTAATTTTGCCGCTTGATGCTTCCCAAAATTCCAAAAATTTCGCCTTCCCTAAATTCTACTGTCTGGTGCCTACATATTTTGCCGCCGCTTCTGGGTTTATAGTGTGTGTGTGTGATTATGGCAAAGCCTCGAGGGCTATCTGCCTAAGGGTAGGGATGCCTTCGTGGAGGATTTTCTAAGGGAAATCGGTTCGTATACACGTTACAAATGGAGAAAACCACGAAAACGCCCATGCAGCTAGCCCGCTCGCGAGATTCGAACCTCGGACCGAACTACCAGTGTTCAGCGACTTTACCGCTCAGCCGCTGGTGGGCTGGGTTTATAGTGAACAAATATATCAGTTATTCTTAATTAAAATAGCACTAAATGTAATCTTTTGGCATATGAGTTTCATTAACAAAATCTATTTTAGCACATGAAAAGAAATGTTTGTTGAAATTTTTCCTCGTCAACATTTCTTAGAGCATTTAAAAATCTATAATTATCGCCAAGCATAATGTTAGCAGAAAAGGTTGCAATACTCTTGTTATTCAATTACAGTCAAAAGTCGTTAATTCGGACACCCATAATCCGGACCTCAAAGCTAAAATCTTTCTGCGCATGCGCCGTGTTGGCACATGCGCACAGGCGTTTTACGCGTGCGCATAAGACCTTGACTACTGCGCATATGTGTGTGCGCAAGTGCAGAATACATTTCCGCCTGCGCGTTTAATGTATAACGAATGGTGTAAGCTAAAATTATCTAATTATCTATTTCAGTTAATGTTAATGATTGCGTTGTTCCTTAATCTTCGAATTGGATCGCGCTTATTATTTTTTGCAGACTGTAAGAGCAATTTTATAAAAGTAAACTTGAACTTTCGATTATGTCAAATAGAATTTCTGATGCTGGAACTTCCAAAGGATCTACAAAACGAAAGTGTGTTTTGATGTCCAACAAACAAAAAGTGGAATTGCTGCAAAAAATGGATAAAGACATGAAGAATGTGACAGAGAGGTTAGTGAAAACGAAAAAATTTCATTTGGCAAGTTAGTCGGTATTCTCGGAACAGCAATTAACGGGACTTGAACAGCGGAACTTTGTAACTGAACAAGAAATTATGTCTGTTTATAGAATTAAAGAGAAAGTATTATCACATAAAACGAAGCAACTTAAACAACTTACATTGAAAGAAATGTTTAATAAAGTAAATAAACATTAAGCTTTTTTTTTTTTTTTTTTTTTTTTTTGTAAATTTTGATACCCTTTAGATCATAATTGTTCTTTATTTCAAAAATTACGGTTTCATATTTTTAATTTTAGAATTTCTGCATGCCATCTTACGAAAACTGATGATCTATAATCCGGAATCGCCGAAGTCCCGACGAGTCCGGATTAACGACTTTTGACTGTACTAATATTAAAAAAAGTTTAGAAGTCACTGCATGAGTTATTACTGAAACTGTCATCTACTGATAAACATGTGGAGATGAAAGCAAAATATAATAAATAATGACTTGCCAGGTCGGCGTCAGGGATATAAAAAAGGCGAATGTTTTGGTTTCAGATGTATGCCAAGCAGATACTCAGCTACGGAGCCAAATTATAAATCTCACAAATTTATGCTTACATGATTGTTTTTCTATAACCAGCTATTTTATTTAGTGCCTAAGTGAAATTAAGAATCGGAACCTTTAAGTGAAAATCTCCACGTTTTATTATGGAAGGAAAAATCAAATGCACATGTGTAAAACACCCCCCCCCCCCAAAAAAAAAAAAAAATATTTTTGTGGCTTTGAGGTCCGGATTTTAGATCATTCCGGATAATGGACGTCCGGATTTCAGACTTTGTACTGTATCTCCAACCTTAATAAAATTAGGTTCCAAGGAACATAGTCATAATGGAGTTTAACTGTAATTAATTATCACTAAATTTTTAGACCTACCCCTGTTTTCATTGCATTTTCTAAAGTTGATGAAGGAACATTATTTTTCTTTGCGTCTTCCAAAATAGTTGCTAGTTTATGATTAGTTTTGGGATCAGGTCCTTTTTCTAAAAAAAAAAAAATAATAATAATGAAAAAGGTAAGTTATTCAGGTACAAAAACGAAAAGCTATTTTAAACTAAAAGTATTATTACATATTTGCTTTTTTTTCCTCCGCCAAAATATTTTTTACTCCAAGTCAGCATCAAATTAAGAGATTAGCTAAACAGTGAGGCTTAACAATGAAAGCCTGAACTGTTATATGCAAATTATTAATTTGAGTATTTGAATATGGCAAAGCACACAAAGGCTATGTACCCAGGGAAACAGATGCCTTTCAGGAAGATTTTTCTAAGGGAAAGTGGCTCATATTCACATTATAGATGGAGAAATTCAATTATGTGGTCAGTCTGTTTGCCTGGGAACCTAGGTTGAATTCCCAACAGTTAACCGTCTTAACAACTCAGCCACTGGCGCAGCATTATTAATTTTGAGAAAATATTATACCTTAATGTACATTACATTATATTCCTATTTTGTCTTTTTGAAGTAAAGTGCATAAATATGTACTTTTCTCTTGCACTGTTTGTTATATTTAAAGTACTCCAATGCTCACTCAGAATATGAAAATACTTTCATTTTAGCCTACTCCAGTAACAGGATTCAGTCAGTTGTCACTAATATAGTGGAACCAGTTTCTAAAATGCTCTTAGCTTAATAAAATGGTTATTAAAATTGAATTGTAACATTTATCTGATCAATTTCTCACTACTTCGTAGCCAGTTTCATTACTTATATAAATTGTGAACAGATTATTAATTCTTTTAAATTATGTTAATGCCCTGCTTCCGATACTAAACTTCAATTTAATCACTTAAAAGTTGCTGGTAGTTTAGTTCAAGCAAACACAAGCAGCACTGCGATTAAAAAAATTTAACTGTAATTAAAGTGACCAAGTATTTTTTGTACAAATACGGTACAAGTGGAATTTCATTACATAAGGTGATTGGGATTGTTGGGGAGGAAACCGAGTTTTCTCCATTTCATTACATATTTTTTAAATTTCAAAATGACTATAATTCTAATATTTTACTTGTAAATAACGTAACAATTGAAATCACATTTTCGAATTCTGTGAATTTTTTCGAAAAGTACACACACATCAGAACTTCCATTCCCTAAATTGCTTTTAACTGTTAAAACTGCAGCTACAGTTTGTATGCACAGTTGTGATTTTTCACTGCACCAGTAATCATTACCAAGCAAAAATATCACCTCTACAGCAACATTATTGCAGGGCCAAAATTTTGCATATTCAATCAATAATTCTAGAGTATTTTAGGGGATAAATTTTTGTTTGGGGTAAATGTGAAAATATTTCTACCCCACCTTCTATCCATCCTCACTTTTTCATCTATTTATTTCTTCATTTAAATATGTATTTACTCCTTGAATTTTTTCATCCAAAAAACTGTCGTCAATTTCTTTCATCATGAATATGATTGTTGAAGAAATATTTTCGCATTCAATAATACTTTTTAAAAAAGTCCCTTTGAAGCAATTTAGTCCACTGAAGTTGACCAATCATTGTTCAATGTATTCCACCATCATGTCTTGTTCTACATTGTAAAATAAAACCAACTTCCACAACTGAAATTTTATCACATTTAATATTAGGATAATATTATGAAAAAAAAAATATGGATGAAATAAAGCACACGTTCTGATGTATCATTTTGAAAAACCACTTTCTTAAGTGTGAAGCATTTTTCGAAAGTTAAAAAAAAAAAAAAAAAAAAAAAAAGTGATTGGAGCACATCAAATAATTGTTAAATGTGCTCTGCTGTTGGAGTCAAAGGAAGCCACCTCACTTTGAATAGCTAAGAAGCTTGTTATACTGAACAAAATTCAATTCACTTTCTAATTCAAACCCCTGAAGGGGCTACAATATAAATACATGTTAGTAGTATTTATAACTTCCACATCAATCAACATGGAACTAGAAGCTGTATTAATGGCATTTGAAAAAAATGCATGTATTGCAACCTATTTCCAAACTATTTCTTCTTGAGTCAAAATATCTGCTCTTGGTGTACATTATTGACACTGCGGCTAATCTTTGATATGGTAACTTTGATATGGTAACAGGTGACACTGCGGCTAATCTTTGATTGGCGACATTTTGGTAAGGCGATAAAGGTTACTTTAGCAGTGTACATGGATAAAGTCAAGAGTGTGCGCAATGCCATTTTTGTGCAATTCTGGGATTTTTTTTAAAGTGAAAATAGGTCGACGTGTACATGGATACCGTGTATGTGCAATTCTTAAAAACGCGGCAGCAGTTTGCGATTCTGTACTTTCTCCCAATTTCGCACCTAATCTTTGTCATGATTAAGCACTTTTGTTCCATAAAGGTTCTAGCGGCTGATCTTTAGAATATGGTAACTGGTAGTTTGGCGACATTTTGGAGGCGATAAAGGTTACTACCTGGGACTTTGGCAATAATGTCAGCAGTACTCAGTTCCGATTACGCATTATTTTGTGTGAGGGAAATGAGAGATCATGGGATATGTCATGTGATATTAATGGACGAATTACGGTTCTTTAATCGGAAAAGGGGGGAAATCGGGAAATTTTGTATTTGGCTTTATTCTGGGTTGTGTGAAACAGTAGTGTTCGTTAATTTTTGGATCCCATGGCCCTAACTAAAGTGAATTTGAAATGGGTATTTAGTGGGATTGAAAGGGGTAATAATAAGTGTTTCTTTAAGGTTGTGCGAGATAGAAGTAAAGATGTTTTATTAAGTTATTTATTTTACCGGGTACCTTGGTGTGAACTATAAGTATGATTTTAAAGATCCTGAAACAGAAATAAGAAAAGTTTATCGGACACGTAATCAAGATTCTGAAGAAGAATAGGTAAGTTAGTATTTTTAATTATTTGAGGATATTATTTTTATGCATTGTTCTAAATGTAAGGTGGAAGTAAAGTAATTTGCGTAAATGTGCATGGAAATAATTTAAATATTTGACACTAAGTATTTCTAATGTTTGCGGTATGAATTAGTTAGTGACGTTTGTAATATAATAGATAATGTAGAGGTAAAAGTTTTTGGATATTTTATTTATTTTATACGGGAAAATGTTCATAATTGGAAAGGGTATATACTTTTTCGCGATCAGATATATGTTCTTTTTACCGGGTTTAAAGATTCAGAAAATTGTTATGCATTTTCGTGAAATTTTTCTAATTTATGAGAAAAAAGCAGTGTACATGGATATGTGAAGAGTGTGTGCGCAATGCCATTTTTGTGCAATTCTGGGATGTTTTTTTAAAGTAAAAATAAGTCGACGTGTACATGGTTTAGTGATATTTTAATTAAATGATAGTTATTTTGTGAATTTTATGTTTGTAGGAATTTGGTATACATTTAAGTTGAAGTAAACGTGCATGGAAATAATTTAAATATTTGACACTAAGTATTTGTAATGCTTGCGGTATGAATTCGTTGGTGACGTGTATAATATAATAGATGATTTAGAGGTAAAGTTTTTGGATATTTTATTTATTTTATATGTGGAAATGTTCATATTTGGAAAGGGTATAAACTTTTTCGCGATCAAGTAATTTCATATATGTTCTTTTACCGGGTTGAAAGATTCAGAAAATTGTCATGCATTTTCGTGAAATTTTTTTAATTGATGAAAAAAAGCAGTGTACATGGATATAGTGAAGAGTGTGCGCAATGCCATTTTTGTGTAATTCTGGGATGTTTTTTTTAAGTAAAAATAAGTCGGCGTGTACATGGTTTATGTGTATGTGTTATTTTGAAAAACGCGTAAGGAGTACGGTATTTGTGAACTTTTCCCAATTTTGCAGTGAATATTTGTCATGATTAAGCAGTTTTGTTAGATAAAATTTCTAGCATAAGTGTAATTCGGCTAGTAGATTGTTGGAAGAAAATGTTCAGTTAGATAAAAAGAAAAGAAATACATGATCTTTACTTTCGTGAAGACAAAATGGCGGCGGGACAAAAAAAAATAGAAGGTTGCTGTAGGAGAGTTGGTCGCGAAATTTTCGCCAAAAAATTGCCAAGTTACCATAATCTAAAGATAAACCAAGAATTCAAATTTAAGTTATAGTCAAAGACATCCCATTATTTTGCCTGCCAAGAATAAGCATTTTCCGAAAGCAAGTTAAATCCTGTTACCACATTCTCAACAGCAGCTCTTAGCATATCAGGAGGAATGTTAAGGATATGTCGGTGTATCACATTTTTCATTTCTGCCAAATTGTTTAGATTATCACCATAAACAGTGCTTTTGAGATAACCCCATAGCTAAAATTCACAGAGGTTGATGTCCTGGTGGGAAGATGGGAAGTGTCGGCCTCTAAGACGTTCATTCATGAAATGTTCCCTAAGTAGCTGTGCGACACATCTGAGGTGGGGCCCAGCCCTGCATAAAAATTTTAGTATCTAAAATGCCACATTACTGCAGTTCATGTATCACGAAATATTTTAACATTGACTCTAAGTGAGCTGCAATCACAGTGGTCCAGGTATCGACAGCTCTTCAGAGAAAAATGGTTCAGTATAAAACTAGCTGTCATTCAAAACTAGACGGCGTGGAATGACTACTATGCAGTCAAAAGCAGTAGGAGAATCCAATGGAACTAGATAGATAAAATGATTGATTTCTTTGGCCCAAATCGATTAAAAGCGTTTTGAATCAGTATCTTCATGTTTTAGGGCCAAATTCAGGCTTCAAAAATTACAAATTAGCGATCTGTAGGAAAACGATTTGCAGCTTGTACGCATTTGTGCGAGTGATTTGCGATTTCACATTTTCTAATCGCTAATTCGTGGTTTCCACGAATTTAACGCCTTTAAATGGTAATTTGCTTACTTCAAAATTTCTTAAGGGTATACAACATATTAAACCCGTGTAACAAAAGGTTAAGTTAGATTCCGACCCATGTTTCATTTAAAAATATTGCATACAGCGCCATTTCCCTCCTGGTGGTGAGGTTGGCTGTTTCTAAATTTAGATGGCCATTCCTTAATTAA